TAACTGACTCCAAGACATAGGAAGAACGGTCTGGCTTCCACCCCGGCCGATGTATATCTAACAAGATATTCGCCCTGTGCCAGACTATTGAGAAATCGTGGGAATACGCCTGTCCGGTGTATATGTGTATTTTACACCTAGATTTATCGTCATGCCTGCAATCATAAGGGATCGGTGGCCAGCTGTTACTCGCCTTCCAATCAAAACACGCTGATAGCAAGGGCGGTGTCAGAGTAAATGACGTTCAATGGAGATCTTTCAATGTTTTCACATGTCTGTGCCAGGACCCCGTTCTGTCCCCCTATATCTTTGTATTGTTCATAGGCAGGATTGTTATGCAGAAGTAGTGCAGCGAATATATTAGCATAAATGTGGAGACGAGAATGGTGCTTTGTTCAAATTGGGTTGTTTGTTATCATATTCTGAAACTGATATCCAGCGCTCTTTGGAAAGTTTCTCAGTTGAGGACTATGTGTCTAAAGCGAAAAGTGTAGTGGCTTCTCATTCTCAGACGTTGCACTCTACAGCTGAACACAGAAAAGGTTTGGGCAGGTGGAAATGTTTACATCCGTCAAGGTCATGTTTAGTGATGGTGAAAAATGGGCGGAAGATCATGAGTATAGAATTTGAATTGTCAACGGTGTTTTGTGTAAAGCCGTTTTATAAACGTTGTGAATGAAACATGGCTAAGCCTGAAGACGGGTCTGAAGTTTGAAGGCCTCAACCTTTCAGGTTCTCTTTGTTCATGCCTATCATTGAATCGGCCGTTTCACATGTTTCGACAAAATCCGGAGTACAAAAATCTGAACGACCCTTGATGTATCGCTGCTGCTTCTTCAGATTGAGAAGTCACAGCTTCGATGGTTTGGGCATTTGTTGCGAATGCCTCCAGAAAGAAAAGTGAAACAGCTACTATTTGCTCAGACCACAGACCAAATACCATGGGGAATGCTGAAAGTAACTTTCGGCAGATGTACTGAAGGGCTCTACTCCAGACTCAGGTTATTTTCTGCCGAAGTTCAGAATCGGCCTGACGTGTGCCTCAGAAACCTGTAAAAATAAGTGGTTATCGAAACTGAGTGTCTTACCGGAAGAGGAAACCCGTTCATGGGTTCGAAACTCTTAACTTGCTGCTCATATTTTTTCTATACTTCCAATCGTGTCTTTATCTATCTTCATCTTCATCATCTTCCATCGCCGCTTCTCCTTTCGGGTCGCGGAGGCAGACGCGTCAGACAGT